CACGTTCTACCCGTTTATCCACGCGCTTATTTAGGTAAATGTAAAAAAATGTGTTATTTAATTCCGTCCGCATCTTTCTCAGTCATATCTTTCACCGTTTCCGGGATATAGCAATTTTTTCCAAAATATAACTCCCATATTTTAAAAAGTAATGATCCGATTTCAAAAATAATAATAATTCAACGACCACTCCTTCTCCTTCCATTCAAGGTTAAGAAAAGAGTCGCGCCGTCGTAGTGGTTGAAAGTCCGTAAGAGTCGGACCTAAGAGCATGTCTATAATGTTCCAACGAGAAGGAAACCCCAGTTCCCAGACATGCTATGTCAGTAGTAACTTTGCGACTCAACAGGAACATAAATTTGATCAATGAATCAGAAATCCTTCAAGACCTTATAAAGAAATGCAACGTTGAAAAGCAAAATTTGTATGACTCAAAATGATATTCAAAAAAATTAAATCCACTGAATAGATGTATAGATTTGTCGTTCTTCTTTGGAAGCAGAGGAAGTCAGACGCCCTACTTTTTTCTCCAACTTCAAGATGTATTGAAACCCTAGAACAATTTTATGAGTTACAGCCTGCAGAACAAACAAATTGCCAATGGGAAGAATGTACTAGCTCGATTCTAAGCCCACTCCGTCGGTTTTTCTAAATCTGCGGAGGATGGTCGAAAAGGACTTTGTTGTTGGCTAAATATGATCAGTAGAACACGTAAGAATACATTTCTCAATGTTGCCGTCAATAAAATGCTAATTTAAACATTAAACTAAAACATGAAGAATTAAACATGATTAGGGGAATATAAAGTGGATTTCCGTTTAGATTGTTTGGTTCGTGTAATCCTAGTGCAATTATTGCCGAAGAATAATTTATATGAGGAATATAATATGTGAGAAGTACATTGCCAATACCACGTAAGAACATATACCAGTATACTTGTATAGACGACGAAGAGACGCACTTTTGGACGATTCTATGCCAGTAGAACAACCTTTTTGCTTTGCTGACTGGAAAAGAACTAAGTATCAGGATAATTAAATATTTAAAAAAAGCTTATCAGCTATTTTTTCCAGTTTAGATCTTTCGTTCGTGTAATCATGATACAATTGTTTTCAAAGATGGTGTCAAAATGAAATTCAAGATGGCGGTTTCTGAGACATGAATGTCAAATTTCTTTTTTTTTTTAATGGTTGGCATACTAGATCTTTACATGATTAAAGAAATATGATTAAACAAAGAACAATTAAATAATTATTGAACCAGCATTGAATATCAAGTAATCACAACAAAACCGGTTCGTGTGGCGCAGTTCAGTTAAAGCTGGACTGTGGTGCTAAGGGTCTCTGGTTCGAATCCGGGTTAGGGCATGGATATTTGTAAATGTATAGTGGGTTGGGTTGGTAGAGCAGCCTTGGCTGAAGCTCCGCCCACTCAAAAATAAAGGCAAAATAAAAAAAAAATAAACATGACAATACGGTCTGTTTTAAATTAAGTGTACAAACTACTGCTAACTTTCTTAGTTGTCGAGTTAGAAAGACGGTTACAGTACCAAAATTGTGTAGAGAATTTAATAATGTTACATGTAACATAGCTAAAATAGTTCAAATAACCAAGATTTTTCAATTATTTTCATTCCGATATACTTACTGTAGGTATCAGTTATCAGTGCATCACAAAACCTGTGTGTCGTTTGACCTTCAAAACGAAAAGATCATTTTGACCCGATAACAAAAGATCTTTTGGACCCCCCACAGCAAACTTTAGGATCGAGCAACATTCGAGCTATACTCTGTTTTTTAACTAGGAAGACGGATTTAAAAGTTCCCGCAAAAAATCTTAGTTTCTATTGGCTCCCGCTGCGCCCGTTTTACAGCCAGGTAAAGTTGCTATTGACATGATTTAACTGTCAAATTTAATCGTGATTCTCGTCCGTAACTGTTGTACTTATTTTTGAGTTTTTGTGTGTTCTGAGTCCATTTGCATAAATTTTAACAGAAAAAAACAGTTCTTTTAAGAACTAAAGTTGATATTTCGCGTCCTAAGTGTACTGGTATTAGTGATGGATTCAACTCCAAGTACCAGTAAAGCAAGCTTGTCTCCTTTGAAAAAACGTAGTCGCTTAAATTTGGGTCATTTTATCAGTCTTCGAAAAGCAGTTTATTATAAACAAATGTTGTCTGATATTCCGGATATGAATTTTGCTACGCTTGTGTTGAAGATTGCTTCTACCACAGGTAACGTAAATAATGATGTAGGTATATATTTGGTTGTTAAAGTATGACACATTTTAGGAGTTGCACGATCTACAGTATCCTGGATAATTAAAGAATATCGAAGTACTGACATTGTTACCCCTTCGAAACGTCCCGGTGGTCACAAGGCTGTTGCAAATGTGAGCTCTGACGATTGGCGGAATTGTGTTCAACACATTATTAAGGAAGAAAATAAGATGTGTAGATTGGATGGCCTAATGGATACACTTATAGAACCATTAATTATTTCACTCCGATCGGAGGACAGTGCGACAGTTTTAGTGAACTTTCGGAAAATAGTGACTAAATCGCTTATACATAAAGCAGTAACTGCTTTATGTATAATGCTGTTTAATAATATGAGTATATAATTCCATTGTTCTGAATTTGTTCAATAACTTAACATTTGTTGTAAATTGTAATGTGGATTGTGTAGTATTACAACTGATAAAACATTTAAAACTACAATTCAAAATAATGTTTCAAAGGCCAAAAAATGTACCTATTTTTTATAATTTGCTTTTAAAAGTATGATGTATGCATAATATAAAGAAGTTCGTATCAAATAATAACCCAAAAGCATAAATAATGAAATTTATCCAAATGTGAAAGAAAAACACATCACGCAACCCACAATACATGTCTGCATAAAATGACTCTATTATTTTTGTTACTAGATTCTAGTGACATTTTCAGTGTAAATCAGGTTTTTAAATCCGTCTTCCTAGTTAAAAAACAGAGTATAGTACAGTTAAATACATCAAACTATTTCTTAGAATTTGGATCGCCTCCGACTTCCTTTGCCCGCAGAGAAGAAAGACAAATATAATAGCGCTAAAATACTAATCATAGCTTCTGTTGTGACTCATGGTTATTAAAAAGAAAGGTTCTACGGCACTGAATTTATTTTCGTTGGGACCAGAACGGGTGGGTACCATGGATTGAATGCAGGGACCAATTAATTGTTTTAATTAGCATATTTTATTCCATAAACCAAACCGATCTGGTCTATTTAATTATAGGAGAAAAAAATAGCTTCGAATAAATTATAGCAAAAAAATTGATTGAAGTGAATAAGATTGTTGCCACGCATATAGTAATGACACAGAGATTTTTTCAGGAATGACAATGGTCGTTCAAGTTGAACAACTTTTTTAGGTGATCGAAACCTTCGTCACGAGCTGTCAGCATAAGGAGGGAAGGGGTTGCTTCGTCTCTTCCAATTCCATTACGTGCTTGTCTTATTTTTCAAAACTCAAGCTTCCTCAAATTTGAAGCAGGTCGATTTCAGTGGCGTGACTTGAGCACAACATTTATTCCAGATTACTGACATTCCTATGTTAGAATAATCCACAACTACAACATTAAATCAAATCTTGGTCGAGGAATTTGGAAATTGGACCAAGCAAATTTTAAAATGAAATGTTGTTGGTAGGTTGATGTAATTGGCCTTGTTACTCCATCATAATAATAAAGCGCAGTTATGTTTTATTGCACTAGTGACTAGGCCTTTATTTCAAAACTCTCGTAACTATCGCCGATTGCACATTACCTTAAAAGCTATTTCAGCTGATGACAACTTCGTTAAAATAAGCGTGATGTAATTTTTTGCAAAGTGGCAATGTTGAAAAGCGCATTAATTTTGACTGACATTTTGTGTCGGTGAACGCTAACATCAAAATCCGCGTTAAGTACTAAAAAGGATAAACTTTTTTTTAAACGAGGTTTCATGACATGACACCGACAAGAGGTTGGCAAATGTAAAACTTTTACATCTCGAGTAAAACTCCTTGCTTCATTACTCGGGGGAATAGAAGAGCGCGAAAAAAGGTAATTTGGCGAAAATTGGAGCGCCCCTAAATCTAAAGCGAGGTTAAAAATTTCATTCAAGATGCGCACATATGCGAAGTTTTCATTATCGTTTGATCGTCTGCGAAATAATTACATGTTAACGGGAATTTTAATTAAGGATTTAATTAATTTCGTTTGACGGCGAACGAAATTGTTAAAATTGAAAGTGTCTACGCCAAATGCCTAAAATAAGCGCGAAAGCTGTTTCGCAACATTTTTTGCAACTCATTCAAAGTTTGAAGGTGAGGTTTGTTAGGAAACTGATCTTTACAATTTGCGTTTGGATGAATTTCCGAGTTCGTGTCAAGATGCATTGACCTCTACGCAATTTTCGGTTTAAAAAACCTGTTTGGTTCATAAATCTCCACTACCATTTCGTTCCTTTGGTTCACTATGGCACGACGTGTGTCCATTCAATTTTGCCATGGTCATCAAAAGCGACCTATTCCAGATTCGCTCATTCAATTTCCATAAAGTGTCTTTTACAAGTTCCACATGTCATAAATTTTATTTGTTCCGCGCGCCTAGAACGAAGGTAGTTTTCCAAACTGGTTGTGTAAGTATGACATCACGAGCGGGCAATTCAAATATGGGTTAGTTAACGACCATTTCTAGACGTTATTACAAAAAACTGGTTAATTATGCAATCAAAAATTGTGCCGTACGTTTACAACTTCCGAATTGGTGTACGAGCATCTAATTTAATTTGAAACGCCGTTAATTAAAAGGGACGGAGCATTGTCATGTGATCGACCGTATTAAACTCTGTGAAGCTTTGTTTATCGGATTGACGCCGTTAAAGCCACGGAGGGTCAACTTCTACGTAATTATTTGTACGAGAGCAATTAAATCGGCATCTCTCACGCTTGTGATTACTAAACCCGTTCTCTTTTTCAGAACATGGGCAAATCTACGGGGGTATTTTTCGTCCTAACATTTCTCTCGCTACAAATTGTCAACTGTGAACCACCGGTGCTAATATTGGCGCCTAATCTGATTCAAGTGGTAACGTCGAGTACTCTGCAATGGGCAGCGGTGTCACCGCGACACCCTCCTGACTTGCAAGACGCCGTAGTGGGAGCCTACCAAAACATACGAGGTAAACTTCGACTTTAGCGTCAAGCCACTACTAACATCAGCCTTTTAGATGAAAGCGATGAAAACAGCGCATCTGATGGAATTTCAAGCAAACCCGTCTACATATGCCGCGCCAAGCAGAGCGCAATCTGGGTATCCGGCCAACTGCGCCCGAATAATCTTCGCTGCGTCACGTCATTACGAGGCACCGTCGAACAGTTCGATCGCTATGAAGTGCTAATCAACACAGAGGGCTCTGCAAATCTAACTTGGGTCTCGAGAGACAAATACAGCTTAGACCCCCAAGGTGCGGTCACCGGTGGCGACGAACCGTTCCGAAACTTCATAGCACGCCGAAAAGTAGTCAACCATCACAAGGAGGGCTCCCTCACACATCTCCTGGGAACATTTGACCCAAAAGACAATTTGGGAAGGTACACCTTAGTCGATCAGAACAACAAGCAGCTCGAGTTCGAGGACGGCGAAATATTGGTCGAAACAGAACCGGTCGCGTACGAACTTGTACGCATCAAGCTTGACTACAATCGTAAGCGCGTCAATCAGCAGCCTCTAGTGCTCGGACACGAAATACTCAAAAACGAGTATGACGAGTCTGTTGGAGTTGCCCGAGTTGATGCAGTCATGCCCTACAAGTTCAACTACACCTTGTACTGGGGACACGGCCATGGTATGCTAACTGGACTACCACTAGTAGTGCGTTCCCATAACGGCACAAGCACCAACGGCAAGTGGGGGTTACCCGAGTCGATGGAGAAATTGTCCACATATCAAATCGAAGGGTTCCTAGCACCTGGGACCGCCGTAAACGTAACGCTTCGAGGAAATTACGGCGAGTGGGACACCCCCTACACTGCAACCGTCGTTTCGATCTACCAATACGGTGACAAAATGGAAAGGCTAATCAAAGACAGCCAGAGAGAACACACGATGAGAGACGTCATCCCCGAATTTGGCCCAATCTACTTCCTACACAACAACAGCTTCGTACCAACCACTACGACGACCACCACCACGACCACAACAACTCGAACTACCGTTACATTTAAAACCACCACCACCACCGAAGAGGTTATCCCAATAACCCCACCCGAAGTGTACGACCAAGAAATGAACAAGGTCGTAAACGTGGACGACAACAGCTTGGACATGGAAAACAACATCATGATTGCAGATCAGGGCGGGGCGCAATCTTTGAAAAACAAGGACGCCAAAGAATCCGATGGAAACTTCGCGATAACCGCAAGGGGTAGTGCAATCATATCGTTATTGGGCATAATCTGTGCGCTTACGTTTACGTAAAAATTGTGCGGTGCTTTTACGGTTCACTTCGGGGCTTGTAATTAGTGTGTGTGAAGTATGAGATGAGTGTATATATCGCAGCTTAATTATCCAATCTTTTAGGTTAGTAAAAGTTTCCCAAAACCCACGATTAGCATTCCAAGTATGAGTACTGAAAGGAAGTGTGTAAATAACCAGTGTAAATATTATGTTAGAAAGACGAATAAGTGATTAGGAAAAGGTGTACGGAGGGGTTTCTACGTCCAATACTTCGCATTTAAGTATCAAAGCGTATTTTTGCAAATATTTAAAGTGAATCGCGCCACTGGTTACCGTGTGATTTTGAAAGATGAACGTGTACAAAATTCTAGTTTTATTTACGATCGAGGTACTATTAATTTGTTTTGTTTTCCCATTTATTTATGTTCCTTCGTTCTTAGTATAGTATATTACTTTCTACCACTTGTATGTACAAATTTAACGCAAAGAAGATGCAATTTATATTTATAAGTTTTTTGGATAAATAGAATAGCGGTAAAAATTAGGCAGTGTTAAGAGTATATTTTGGTATATGTGCAACGCGTATAGGACTGTGCCTCTAGCAACATGTTACACATCTGAAGAGATTTTGGCTTGACCAATGCAAAATGCTGCTTGCCATACACGATTAGGTATCAAAATGGTAAATCATATCTAACTCAATGCTAACCTGTTTGAACTCCTTGCTCTTTAAATATATTCCACCGAGAATATGTACTCGATAAAAATGTTCTTCGACTGATGTAATGTAAAAAAATCATAAATGTGTATTCATGTAAATGTAGATATACCTATAAAGTTAAAACAAGTAAATTGTGTTTCATTTGCAACCTTCCATGCGATTGGCGAACAAGGTAATGCGGATAATTCTGTGTAGAAAAGTCTCCATATATGTTAATTAATTAGACTATTAATTATTAATGTCTAGGAAAGCAGTTTCAGAGGACAACAGGTTCCATTAAATGAACTTCCTCATACTATTTATGTCCAATAGGCGCCGACATACCCTCATTAGCTCTAGATGCATACATCTTTAAATAGGATGTTGTAATTCCCAGTCTAAAGGGCGACAAAATACGTAAACAATATAACTAAAGAACTCTACAACGATTCTAACCTGAATTCATCTCACAAAAATTTAGTTACTCGTTTTCCGCCTTGAAAAGCACCCACTCGACGTGGAAGCGCTTTGTTACGTAGAGCTCTGAAAATATTTAGCTTTATTTTAGGAATTAACAGGAAAAAGGGTTTCTTCGTACTCGCCGATAATCCAGATTCATATGTTTTCAAGGTGTTCCCTTAGGGCGGCTTAGGGATATTTAAATTAGTTTTGTAGCATCCGACAGCCCTTGGGATGGGGAAAATGACATCGATTTAATATTTTAAGATTTCAATTTCAATAAGCAATTAACCACGTATGTGTTCAATAACACCAGGATAGAAAAGCTGTTTTGACGGCTGAAAGGCCGCACAGCACAGATTAGCAGCGTGCCATCTTGAATTCTTGACCTCCCCGATTGCAGAAAAATTCCAATTAAAAAGATGTTAATTGGATTAGCGAATATTGGGTTTGGGATGCGATCAATTAAGCATAATTAATGATTGATATTTAAATGAGTTGCAGAAATCCGTCCGATTGAGCTTGGCCTTCTCTCAAATCTGTATCCTTTTAGCAATTGAACTCGAAAAACTGGAAACCTAAAAATGCTCCACCTAATGGTTGACAGTTTTTCTCGTCTAATTGCTAGGCACCAGATTTTCATTACCTAAACAACCCAAATTTACTCAGTAAAATACAAACCTCTTGTGCAATTATAAGTGACAAAAATCAACGCCCTTAAAGGAATCCGTATATTATAACTTTAAAGTAAACTGGAAAGTAATGGTAGTGTTCCCTGACCATCCAACCTCGAAGTATTGATTGATCCGATAAGACGATCCAAAATCCTAGATCTCGTATAATGTATGGCATATTTGATTATGAATTTCAAAAACGATCACTCGATCGATGATCCGATACATACGCACAATCACCCGCTTCAGAAATGCGAAGACAGTCCATTCACCTCGAAATATTACGATGATAGAATTTAACATCGCCCGTTTAAATACTTCCACTATTGTCCGTATTCGCCACTATTGTGTAATTCAACTTTATTTAAGGTCGCGCGATTTTAATTTCTTGTGGGTTGAAACTTCTCCTGCGGTTCGTATTCAAAGCAATAGTTTCTGAACCATAAATTATCCTTTATAAATGAAAAAACTTTTAATTGTCGCTTTAAAATTTTGCGCGTTTGTCATGTACTTAATTCGCTTCTTCGCCTTCAATTTGTTTCGCAATTAATCACACTTTCGATTATTGGGGTTGTTCCGTCAAAATATAAAACACCCTGCGACAATTACTGGTTGTTCACTTAACTTCGTTCGCGACTACGCGAATAAATCCACACTACAGTTTAACCGGTGACCATGAATTAATCCCCTATATACAAAAAAAAAGGTTTAGTCGAGTCTAAGACACCACAAAAATACTCCTATAAAAAGGACACTGCATGCTCCCTTTGAGTCGAAAATAAATTAAAAAATGTGAATTATGACTTAAAAAAATAGCGAAAAAACTAAAAATGGTTATTAATTAATGTGCAATCTTTAATTTACATTTTGTACAAAATCAATTCAGGAAATAGATTTGAAAGTTATCTCTCAGACCTCGAAAATATTAAAAAATTATAAAAAACGATGCACCTTTCCGTTTTTTTCGGTTAAAAAAATAATAAAAAGGTTATTAAAATGTGAAACAAATCTGTCCGAAATAGGTATTTGTTGAAATAAAAAAATCGGTGGTTAGGGCTAAAGTATTACAAAAAATATAGTGTTGGTTAAAATACAACAAAAAAAGGAAAGCATCTTCCTGACCCTTTTTGCTAACAACAATAAACAAAGCTGTATTTGGCTTAACATAATGAAAAGTGTGCATCATGTTGTCCCCTTTTGGTCAAAATTAAATCTGAACTATAAGTTTGAAAAACATATTTTAATGTTCTTTAAATGTGTGAAATTTTTCTCTGTTGTAACGAAGCAGCCGTTTTCCGTTAGAAATCACCAGTTTTAGTGATCACTCTGTAGATGAACACCCGGTATCCAGAAACGTTTTAAGTTGGGCGCTTCGTTACGAAGAGTTGGAAATATAAGGTAGAAATGGATTAATTTGTCGAGCCGCCCCGTAGGCCGTATTTAATTTGCCGTTTCCAATCGTTCCCGTAGGAATATTTAAATTTATTATTACAGCCGCCGAAAGCTCTCCTGCCAGGGAAAAAGAGAGAGAATCATTCTTCTTAAGTTTTAGGTCCGTTAATTACCCATTTTTTAATATCTAATGATATACGAGAACCAGCATTAAACCGGCAAGGTCGTGCAGTTTAAGGAAAATATCAACGTGATAACAGATTTCGCCGCTTGACCTCACATTCCAAGGAACAAAAGGGTATTGCTGAACTGTGAATTTGGAGGTTTCATGGATAAGTAACCGTAATTAGTTGAATGGGCTACAGGAAACAGTTTCCGATTAAGTCAAGATTACATCCGTTAGATGCTCCCCTAAAAAACGTGAATTTTGCCACCGGTCTCGTATTTTTAAGACGTAATTAATTAAAGAAGTTTTCATTTTTAAGCGTTATGGCAAGGACACGCTGTCGGCTGGAATAACGGTCGTTTCCTTCATGGCATAATTTTGGATGAATTTTATAAAAAGTAAAGCCGTTGTTTAGAGGGGATCTTTTGGTGTTTTAACCGAATAGTAAGTTTATCTTTCTGCCTTTTGCATCTTCACAAGTTACGTTTCGTAAGTACCGTAATTTTGAGCTTCTCCGTAAATTTATTTTACTTTAATACCGTTTAATTTTTACATTACGTTTACCACACCGTATATAGCTTTTGCCTTTTCTTGCATAGTAGTTTTTACTGCTCCATTTAATTTAAGGGTAAGCTTTCTGTTATTTTTTGATCCATTAATTATAAGAAGGTGTCATTATTTCGCTTTCCTACATTTACTTTGCCGTAGATACTGCTACCGAATCCAATTATTTACTGTTCCCGCTTAAGAAAATTGCTGTGCGCTTTAATTTTGTTTTAGCATTCTCTAGAGCCGCCCACCGCTCTTTGGAATTCTTGGAGCTGCCGTTTGAGTTTAACAGAGGCTTCCGAGACCAATACGCCAAACCATTCCTACCCAGACTTTGACTAGGGGTAAGGTTATAGCATCTCTTGGTGGCGCCCGAGTCGATCGTTCCGCCGTTGTAACCGCTACCGTAGAATTTTTTGAGTTGTAATTCTATTTCTTAATAAAATTTTATTTTTATTAATTTTAAAGCTCGCCGATTACTTGCGAACTTGCTACTTCAAAACAACGTTTTTTAAAAGAATTTCTTTATGGTCCAAATTCTAAAAAGTTTGCTACTACCAATCTACTTTAAATTTGTGATCAGTGGCGTACTTCTGCATGGTCAAGGGGGGCTTACTTTTGTTTTAATAGCAACTGCTACTTTTCATTACATAATCTGAAAGAGTACACTTTATTGGATACAGCAACATAAAACACTTATTATATTACATAATTCAATTTAAGAGAAAAATCTAAATTAAGGAGAATGATTGTGTTAATTAATTTCATTATGTATTCTTTCGTTAGCGAAAACAATTTATTGAATCAAAAACAATTTTAAAAAATCTACATGCTTAAAAATTATTTATAGTGGCGTGCATTTACAGAACTAAAAGGGTCACTTTTTTTGGAAAGCACTATTTTTGGCGAGGTATGATTAAAAAATGATCTTTTTTTAATACAATATATGTCGCCCGCCCGCCGCATAAAATTCGAAGGCGTAGATGTAGTATTCCAGGTACGGGTTATATTAGTCTATAGACCAAATTAAATGATTAATGATATTAACGTTTATTTTATTAACACTTTAATTGCGAAAAAATGTTTGCGTTTGAAGCGGAGTCATCCTATGAGATCATGCCCCTAAATTACAAGAACAAACAATGGAAAGCACAGCATAATTTACGATTTGTATTAATGCACCTGCAGTCTAAAGTCTTTTTTACCCAAATATTTGCATGGTTTATAATTTGTTTCTAAGAAACTGCTATTGAATTAGGGTATGCAAAGTCAAACATAATGAATGAAAGTGCGAAGAAAGAATTAAAGAACAAAAGACAATGTAATTAGGTAATTTATTAAAGAATCAATGCATCTCTATAAATCAGGTAGGTACCAAAAATGCTCGAACACGTTTTGTTTTCTTTGTATGTATTTGTGATGTTATTATAACTGGTAACTGAATATCATCGAGTATCCACTATATTATTTCTAGAGCACTTGCCAAAAAGGTGAATATTGCTTGCCGGTTGACCACGTAGTACTTGCGTACCACACGAGGCCGGAAACCGCCAGCATCTTGTGCGCACCATTACCTTAGTCTAAGAAACCATCATTTTGGCAAGTCGAAATACCTTCCACAAGAAGTTTACCCTGGTGGTGCAAAAGACTGACATCTAGCCCATCAGGCTTGTGTTTATATTTGCAACTATAACCTAAGTAGTGAGTGATGTTAACTTTGCCCGATAAATAAAATTAAAAAAATCGGGATATAAGTGTCCAAATAAAGCATCCATTTGTGCACCTGAAAATTTATAAAAATAAGGCAAATTTATTCATAAAATTAGGAATTACATTCTTTATTTACATTTATTCATTATTAATGAAATCATATCACGTTGCAACTCTAGCGCTGTTTGTAACGGCACTCCGCGTAGTGTAGACGCGATGTATTTGCCGAAGAAGTCGAAGCTGTCCTCTTTGGGAACAGCGGGGTAGTTAGACGCCCTCTCACATCCTTTGTCTACGTTTGCACAACCACAGCCGAGAGGGTCGGTTTGTTTCAATTCGCCAACCTTTTGCTTTTTCCTAGGCGCACCACAATCTACTTCAATAAGGGCGTCGGACGGCATTTCCTCACTGCGATGTGTCGTCGGTACAAGATAGGGCGGTGGTGTAGATGAGAGCTCTTCGTCTTCTCGTTTTACGAAATCGTCTAACTTGGGATCGTCTAGGATAATCACATTTTGGGAAGATGAACTAGGGGACATGCTTTCGTTTTGCCAATTCTGAAATCAGTGAAATGATCATGAGTTTTGGGTTTTTTCGCCCCAGGAAATATTTTCTCCTAAACAAATAGGTATAGTATATTAGTTACGACTTGTCAATTCTTTAATTAAATATGGAGTGGTTCATTAAAAAAAAACTTAAGTTTGATACTTCACCGGTCGTCAGGGACACTTTAGAAACGGTGTAGATTTTTTCAATCTCTTTTATGGAAAAGGAATTATGATCCGAGGGGTTACACCCTGTGCAGCTTTTGAGGTACTTAATAAAGAAAACCTGAGGCGAAGGAGTGGACTACAACAATTCAATTATTTATCCCTTCCACCCCATCTTCCAGAAGCTCTCCAAAAACTTGAAAAGTAGCAAACTCCCACAAATTGAAATGCAAACATCGTGATACCTTCTACACAGCTTGCAATCAGGAGCGCCGGTTCTTTCAATTATACCATTCAGCAACGTCTTTAGCCTGAATAACTTCCATTATGAAATCAAAGTTTTCGTCTGTCTGTCATATGCGACTGTTACCACTTAAGATTTTTAAATTCCATATTCGTCAATCAGTTAGTTGGATGAGATCGGATTACAAACAATTTAATATCGAAGAGCCAAAAATGCATTTTTGCAAATTATCCAACTGTGCCTTTAGGAGACTGTTGCAGAGTATTGTAGGATTAAAGGCACTCAGAGAATGTTAAAGATCGCAAAGTTCTTCATGATTCGGATTTTAAGTACTCATGAAGATTGTTAAGCCCTGAAAGACTCTCAAAAGCTCTCTACAGGCCATTAGATGGATGTGGAGACCATTAAATGCACTTCTAGAGAATACACTTAGAAACTCATGAAGACAGCCAAATGCTCTTTTAAAGACAATAAAAATGTTTAAAGACTCTTAAGGACTAATAACGACTTTCAAAGGCTCTAGAGCTGGAAGAAGACTCCACTCGGTTTAGCCGGAAATGAGAGTACAGACTGACATCATCGAGATTTTGTTCGACTCGGATTCCTGATGCTTCAAAACGTGTATTTGAAAAAGTGGAGGAGGGGGTCATTTTCTACCCCAATCAATGCAGTACCTACGTGCGGGTGGTAAAAACTAAGACAAATACAAAATAAATGAATTTGACACATTTTACGTTTCGATTGTTATTTCTTCACCTACACTACAACGTCTACAACTATCTTCAAACTCAAACAAGATTAGGAAAGAATACTCAACAACTGAACAATTGACGTCAACTAAGTTGCCAATTTAAATGTGTCCGTCGAAATTGCTTTCAAAGATCATTTTTTTGTTACTTTTTTATTGTTTATTTGTTCTTCTATGTTTGCTACTTGGTTTTGTTGTTCTAGTTAGTTAAAATCGTTTTGAACCTGGGGTACACGTCCTTACCTGGAATCCTGAAAGAACTGGAATACTTTTTTTGAATAAATTTGCACCGCATCTCCATAAGAATATCGCACATAAGTTTGTGTGTAAGTTTCAGGGCAAGGGATCAGTGTGTAATATAATAAATGTTAGACAGTTGAGAATTTTGGATGAAGTGTACGAAATTGAGGTGCTCCATCAATTTGGTGCAAATCCAACGGGCGCATAATTGACTAATGTCATCGGGTCGGTTCATACAATTCTTTTCCCTACAAGATACAAGTTTTACAAGAATTGGGCGAAAATTAATGTCTTCAAGAATTGATGAAGATTTTTCCAAAAACTTCTGCTTTAGAGACGAATGTACTTTCTTTTTGAATGGATTTGTGAGCAAAAGCAATTGTAGGATAACGAAAATCCACACTTGTTTCGAGAAGATGAAGATCGCGGCCAATCTACATTTTGTTTTTTATCTCCATCTTTCGGAAGTAATGCGGTGGACGGTCCATAATTTTTATACATTTTTCAATGGCTTGATTTTAAGAGTCTGAACATAGCAATTATCAATCAAATACAGGTATGTAGAAAAACGCTTGGAGGAAGACGAAGAGTGTACATGTACAGAGCTACCGGCGTCGTGTAATTAACAACTTCAGAGACTGGGCTACATGATATGCGGTCGGCGACATCTGGGCGCCATCCTCGAGCGTGTTGTACTAACGTGGTGATTTTTCCTATATTCTTCTACAGTTTTGGTCCGATTGTTTTGTAAGGCCCGCCTTCTAGAGATAGTCGACTTTGGGCACCCAAAAGTCTCTCTTTCTCGTGTCGCCAATAGAAACTGGAGCTATGAGAAGTGTCCCTAAAATTGAGTACTATTTTGTGGACGGTTTTTAGCAAAATCCACCAAAATGTGAATTGCGGATGAATTGGACGTCGGAGGTGGGTACCGACAAAGGGAATGTGGCAGCCTTCTGGACACGTAGACTTTGATAATTTTTTATTTGCACCGTCACCTTAGAAGATTAATTAAATCAATGCCTTGCAAGTGGCGGCGTAGCCTGGCTGTTTCCCGCCGGCCCCATCCACTCCTACGGCCCCTCCTGATATAGCTGATGCTCTTTTAAAGAGGAGTTCCCCAGTACTGGGGTAGGTTTCATACATTTTAAGGTCTTCAATAATGTTCAGTCAACAACAAAAGGTAGTAACAATGTGACCTAAGATTTGTAGGCTACCTTCTCTACAGCTGTTTACTTGAAACAAGTAGAATGGTCGAACTTGAATGTGGATTTACAGTGGTCATGTGACCTTCCTACTTGATTCACTTGAATCTAGCGTCAGGTACTACTTGAACGATCAATAAAATACTTGAAGAAGCCTTTACGCGGGTTTGCTTTATCGAGTAAAGGAACTTGATCAATGTAAACGCCACTTTATACAATCAAAACGTGAAATGTGTTCATTTTGCAATTGTGTTGGATTTTTAAAATTAATTCACGACCAAACCATCCAAATTTGATTTTGTGGGTAATTGTGTCAAGAGAATTTTATGGCCTTTTGCAATGAAAACGCTGTATGTATTAAAGACAAGTAAATTTCGTAAAAATAATGGAATATTTAATAGTGATGCAACGGAAATGTTATAACGGAAGCAGAAACGGAAACAAGACAAACTATTTTTGGCGGAAGCGGAAGCGTAAATACTATTATAAATTTGATAAGAATAGAATCATTTCAAATCCCGATAAGCCAAAAATAGGTACAAATTTACTAAATTATATCACGAGCAAACAATCGCGGCAATAACTATTAAGATAGATACCATTACCCGACTGACCTTTTCCATTTGTTTTTTCGCTTTGTCTAACTTCTCAAACTCTTCAAACTTCGTAGCGTGTAAAGATTTCAGGTGACTTTTCAACGCCGTTGTAGTGCGCCCTTTTCGCGAATACAGTTTGCCACAAACTTGGCATTTAGCTGTCGACTCGTTAATCTCGACGAAATATCCCCAAATCGCACTCGTTTTCGGTTTCATTATTGCAAAGTACAAAAGAACACAACCTCCAACGATAAAACGCACGAATTGTTGCTGTTGCGACGAACTAATGAGATGAACGAAAGTAAACAAAGACAAACAGGCCGGCTCGGTTCACAAACCCCGCCCGCGACAACATCACGCCATCCCGTTCAGTCAATCACAGCGCACAGCGCAACTTGCCATACCTATTTGAAAAAGTCCGGTATACTTCCGTTACAAGCGGAATCGGAGGCGGAAGTGCAGAACTTCCGCTCTGTGCTTGCGGAAGCGAAAATCTGCTGCCCCTATAATGGCGCCGGTCTTTCCTGAACAAAATATGATCACGTGTCGAAGTCGAAGTGTAGGTTATTCTGTCTAAATCGTCCAGAACGATCCATACACTGCGCATGTGAATTTGCTCGATGAATTTAAATTTCCCAGTTGCATTTGATGTTTGGTAATCGAAAATATAATTTGGTAACGTACTAAATTTTTCACAAATCGTAAGTCGCATGACATGCGCAGTGTATGGATCTTTCTGGACAATGTAGACAAACGTACTCCAAGATTCATGTATACAAATAAATATGCTTTTTATGCTTTACAAGTTACAACCCTAGAGCAGTGTATAGATTAAAATACAGGGAATACACTTACTAAATGCAATCGAACCAAAAATAGACTGCTATAATTCTTTAGTAAATTTAAATACTTACCAGATGAGAATGATTTGTCATTCGTGGTTTTACATGAGGTCTCAAAAAAGAATCCATAGTGTCAAACCAAACGACCTTCGGCGTATAAACATCGTCCCCGCTGGACAAACTGTTCTCAATCTTCTTCTGCTCCTGTAGATACGAGCTTCGCAAATTTTTAAACTTCGCAGTAACATGAAAAGAAGTGAAATCCGGTAAGCCCATGGCCGCCGCGATTCTCTTCGCTGCCTCTATACGAACATCGCGCTTTGTGTATCCCTCAAACGTGGGGTCCCACAAGACACGCTCCTGCTTACACAACTTTAAGAATTTTAATGTCTCTTTATCGCTCATTCGCAAAATGGCTGCATTGTTTCGCGTACCCATTTTATGTATCTGAAAACAAAATTGTAGACATAGCTTTTATTAGTACATTGTAAATACTTCTCTTTGCACCTACTGACACTGAAATGTAACACGACTCGTAGAACACTACCAGTTCGTGAGCGGATTCGAGACCGTCGTATTTCACGAAAGGACAGTTCACATGCGTAGTGTACACGAAATCATGACCCACGATCGTGGCCAATGTCAATGCCGCTTACGTAAATGATAACGCGTCTATCAAAATGTATTAATAATTAGCGTTTGCGACATGAATTATTAATCTCCACGTTTATGTCAAAATTGTAAGCGGAAATTATAGAGCGTCCAATACATTTAAGAAACGTTGTAAAAGTGTACTGGTACTTACAATGTCCGAAATCAAGTTTTACTACCCACAGCAAATAAATTGATCTCGCATACAGTTCATTCGTAGTCCTTCACTCAACGTATATTTCTAATCTTTTTTTAGTACCTACCTATTCCAGTGAACGCTGTTGTGACATTTTTTCAGGCGATTGCAAATATGAATGATATTTATCTTGTTTTACCGATTTAATTTTTAGTACCTCCAGATATTTTAATTTATATAAATCGGGATTTAAAAAATTTGCTGTGACAAGCACAGATACCAGTCATACCGATGTCAAATTAGCCCTCCACTTTTGTAATTTTCTGAATATTTTTATTGCAATCATGTGTTGGTGTTTGTTAGTTAAATTTTGACGTTTGTTGGTTGACCGCTATTTAATAATTCAAATTTCAAAATTTGGGGCGTATCGTTATTGAATTATTCAAAATTCAAAAATTTGGCTCCCCCCCAAGTTGTAATACTTCATTTTTTTTAGTTGTAATCGTTTGTTGGTCGTTTGTTTGGGTTTGTTGGGTATTCTTTACCGTTTGTCGGTTGATAGCATCTTCAGAATAAATTTTGGGTGTGAAGTTAGCACCCGACATACACGTTTGTTGTTTGATCGTTATTTAATTATTCAAATATTTGATGTCCATGTCGATGTAACGTTAACGTTTTAACTTTCAAACCACATTCAACCTTTTTATGCAATGGATTCAAACCTCTGAACTTGAATGCACTATTTCGTGCTTTGCGATGCGATGCGTTTATATCACCATATGTCCTAAATTTAATAAATAAAATTGTCAGTTCAAACCCCGTACGGACGTCACTGGTGAAAAGGTGTGTACAAAATTTCATAAAAAACTTACTTTTTTCTTAAAATTGTAACACCCTGTGCTCTAAAACTAAGAGGTTTAAGACAGATGTTGATATAAACTTTTCTCCTTAACATCACCAGAAGATTCACACCCTGTATTAGTGGCACTCAATTAATTAACACCTTGTATAATTGAATGTGTCCAATGTCATCCGAAAATAGGTATGACATTTTTCAGGATCTGCCATCAATTTCACAAACAGGTGATGAAATTCACCAAATACCGTTCACTTCATATTGTTTTTGAGTTATCGTAAAAAAACCAACATTTTGAACCGTCCTGTCACGTTGATCTCTCCACAGGTCACATTTGTTGATCGATTTGAACCGATCGAACCCAGGATCGAACATCATTTTTTCGCAAATGTATTCCGATTGATGCCATTTGTTTTCGATTTATGTTCGATATCGTTAATAGTTTTTTCGGAAAAAATAAAAGTGAAGTGATGTTTTTTTTTCGAAAAAAAAGTAATATCTTCGTAACCTGTGGAGGTATAGGGCCCACGTTCGGTCCACTGGTAGAGAACGTCGGGTCCACGCGTACCTAGGCTTCAAATTCGGGGCATTTGTACTATCTCCCTGACTAGAGTCGTTCGTACCCTCAACGTCACTGAAGCCATCCCACACGCGAGATGAAGATAAGGATGCTGGCAGGGGAGGTGGTTCTAATCGTAACCATGTCCGACCAGGATACCCCCAACATGGACACGTCTACTGTATAAGTTTGGTCCAAATGGGACAACTAGTGTTTGAGTTATCTCAAAAATAATAATATTTTGAGCCGTCAAATCATATTTCACCCTCCACAGGTCACATTCGACCGATTCGAACCGACCGATTGTCATTCTTTCGCAAATCTATTCCGATTGATACCGTTTGTTTTCGATTTTCGAAATCGTTAATGGTTTTTTGGAAAAAATTGCAACTGCTATTCACACAAAACCCTTCTCCGCGTCATTACTCGCTGAAGTATTTGATACTATCACCAAGTACTGCGCCGACGGGCTCGCGCTCGGCCCTTCTGCACTCACAGTCGCGCCCGCCTAGTCTTCGGGGCCTCTCTTCGCGTCGCACCCTCGAGAGCCACCCAACTGAAGCACGACGCTTAAGTGCCATCCATTTTTAGGGCTGGTAACTTCGGAAGGTGAGTTGTTACACATTCCTTAGCGAATTCCAACTTCCATGGTTAAGGTTCTGTTGTCCTGTAATTTTAGAAGATCAGGATATGGGGCTAATGGATAGTGAATTGACTAAATTTGGATTGAAATGGACAACAAATATTGAAGAAATTTCGATTTTGGAGGAAGAATCAGAGTGGTGGAAGTGCTGGATTAAATTTGCGGAAACAACACCAAAAAAACGGTGCTTAAGAGATTTTAGTCTAAATAATATCATAACATAGTCTATCATAAGTATACTAACCGTAGAAGCAAAGGTTCGTGTAAAGGCACGTATTCATATAGCGAACGAATTCGTTCGAATGGATTTATTCGGATAATGTGCACGTACAAACAAGCGACCGAATATGTTAGCATTGTCTAGGGCGGCACACGAAAGAAAATTCGCGAAGAATCGTTCGGTGTATTTTCTAGTGTATCTTGCTTTAAAGAAAACCGGAAAATTCCGATTATTTACGAAAATATGCCAGGAAAACCGAAATTTGCCGATTTCATATTTATTTTTTTCTGATGTGAACAGATACAACAAAAAAAAACACTTTCTCATTGCCACGTTTGGAGCTCTATAAGACACGTTAAGAGATTTTCAATTCAACGATTCGTTTCGGAGAAATCATCAGCACCTTTATTTTTTTATATGGTCCGTAAAAAAGTACATACTGTATATAGTAGCAGTTTTTATTACGAATACAACGCAGTACGGCACACAAAAAAAAAACAAAAATTGGACACTGCTGTTTTCAACAGGATGGTGCACTTGCCCATTTTCCGGGAAATTTCCCGATTGGTATTCTCGTACGATTATGCCGTTGTGCAAGAGTGCACGGTCAAGTTGAAACCAACAGTTATCGGTACAATCGTGCATGCGGAAATGAGTCAAACTCCCATTTCCAGCTAAACGGCTGAACCGATTGGAACCAAATTTGGTGAATTTTAAAACATGTCTGCGCGGGCCATTCGAAGTTCGTCCGCAGGTCAACGACCCTCAAAAAAGAATCTATATTCTCGAACCACGGTACCTTTGGGGTATAGCTGTTACAGTCCTCGTCCACTCTTCTCCGTTCTCTGAAATACGAGGTCCGAAAATTTGGCCAGTACCTTTATGGGCTTCCCGCAATTTTGATGCCTCCATTCGAGCACTGTGCTTGGCAAAAGAATGAGCAATTGCTAAAATTGGTTAGACAACACTTACCATTCATTTATCGTTGGTGATTTTAATCGTGGGCCTCAAAAGAGAATCGAACGACCTTCGGAGTAGATCGTCCCAGCACGAGAAACTGTTCGAATCTTCTTTATTTTAACGTTTTTCATCGCTGAGGAAGGAATTGTTTCGAGTACCCTTTTTGTGAACCTGAAAAACAAAGTTTAGCTTAGATATATCTCAAATCAGCACATTGTAAATACCTCCTCTGGTAGCTACCCACACTGGAATGGAATGAAACACCGTAGCAGATTTGCGGCCGTCGTATTTCACGAAAGGAAAGTTCACATGCGTAGTATACACGAAATCATGACCCACAATCGTCGCAAATATCAACACCTCTTAAGCTGGACGCACACATGCAACAGAACATCGTCGCGTAACAAATCTGGACGCCAGCGCCACATCGCAAAATAAAGGTAAGACCTTAACCAGTTTTTTGTGCATAGATTTGGCCTGTCAGTAGGTTCCAAAATGGCAGACGAGTCTGCTACCTCAATCACGCGAGCCGCAGTTAAGGTAACCACAGAAAAGTGGTCACATCGACTGCAGAGCGCGGTTAAAATACGAAAGATTTTTCAAAAAATTAAAAATGTCTAAATCATATGAACCTTTTAAATTTTTTTTTTAAATCTTGGAAATTTTTTGGGTCACTTGTCTTTTTTTAATGTCATCCCTAGTGTGATATTTTTACAGAGAGAATTTAATATGCTTATCTTTTTAGTTTAAAATATACAGGGTGTTCTATTTAAATAATGAGGTTAGGTCCGGTTACTTTCTTAGCTGATATCGTATAACACTTATTTTGAAAACGGAAGATTATTCTGCAAGTACTTTTGTAATAAACATTTTCCCATGAAATTGCCAATTTTTTATTTTCCTGAGCGAATGTTTTTAATTTTAAGTTTAACCCAAACAGAGCACATGACAGGCACATATTATTTTTGATAGCACTAAAAATTACGAACATGCCTTATACCTAAATGTAGAAAATTGGACACCCTGTACATTGTAATTATTTAGGCATATAATTTTTGAATAGTTTTCCCTCGAGTTTGCCTCTTAGTATAAGTGATTCGAAAGGGACCACTTTCTATTAGATGATTTATGATCATAGGTATAGAACTCGGTATAGAACTTGCTCCATTGAAACATTCTCCTTCTTAAAAATGTCTGTAGATTTAGGGCGTTGTCCCACGATGCCGCGACACGATGTAGCAACGATGTACTTACAGAAAAACGAACAGGAATTTAATGCAAAATTAAGTAGATGCACTGATGTCTGTCGAGTTCCTTAGCAGCAACAAATATTCTGATTTCTTTGATTTCTTGCAATAAAAGGATACATCCAACATTCCCTTTTTTTTAGATTTTCAACGTAGGCACCCTTTGTAGTGTCGTCACCCACGCAGTGATAATTTTGCGGGAGACCGGAGATGCAAAACGCCCGAAAGATAGATTCCGAGAGTGACACTGGCGAAATTTCACCCGCGCGGTAAATGTAATTCAGATCTCCAACTATAATTTTTAAAAAGCACTCTCTGCCATTTTTTACCACAGTTGCGTGTGAGTACTATACGTATTTAGAATCAATAGTATCGATTCCATCGTTTAAAATATTTTTGCTATTTAGCGGAATTTAATTGTATTTAACGAGGTATTAATGAGATTTAACTGTATTTAATGGAATTTATACATAATTAATGGGATTGAGACCCACTTGCACCAAAAAAATTAAGCCTTGCTTAAATTTAAGTCGAACTTAAAATCTATGGCAATGATTATTAAGACAATTATTAATTATTAATTACAATGGTATTTAAGTTATGCTTAACTTTAAGGGATACTTAATTTTGACGGTGCAATTGGCCCTTAATGTATTTATTGGATTTAAATGTATTTATTAAATATATTTAATTCTCGGGTACACCCATTTAAGGAGTGTCCCGCCCCTCGAATATTCCGTAGTTCGTAATTCGGAACATAACTTTGACGCGTAAGGTAAACCAGGTGTCAAATTCTTGACAGAATAGCTTCCTAGCTGAAACCAAAAATTGTTTTGTTAGCTTTTATTAAAAGGACCTACCATCTAAATTTCGTTAAAATTGTTCCATAAATAAGAAAGTTGCATTTCTGCGCATGCGCAACACGATTTTTGCGCATGCATTTTGTTTGCTTTTATTAGAGGGACCTACCATCCAATTTTCGTTAAAATTGCTCCATAAATAAGAAAGTTGGATGTTGCACATGCGCAACTCGATTTTTTGCGCATGCATTTTGTTTTCTTTTATTAGGAGGACCTACCATCCAAATTTCGTTTTAATTGTTCCATAAATAAGAAAATTGCATTTCTGCGCATGCGCAACACGATTTTTGCGCATGAATTTTGTTTGCTTTTATTAAAGGGACTTACCATAGAAATTTCGTTTAAATTGCTTCAGAAACAAGATCGTTGCGTTTTGCACATATGCAACACAATTTTTTGACTTTGACAATTTTTTTCTCCGTTTTTTGATAATATAACCCGGCCCAATTTTTTGTAGGTTGTACACAGGAAAATAAGGTCTTCCAAATAATAGAATAAAAATTTTAGGTTGCTATTTGAAAAAAAAAGTTCGATGCCGTTACGGCGCTCCAAAATTTTTTTTCAAAAATCCGGCCCGTTATTTTTCTGTTCGGTATGCCTAAAACATATATACAAAATTTCAACAAAATCCGTCGAGCCGTTTTCTCAGAAAATTGCCAACACGTACGTACGTACGTACGTACATACAGACGGAAAAAAATTTTATTCTTTAAAAGTTGCTTAAAATGGTCTAAAACGTCGACATTTGATGAAATTTTGAAATGTTCAAAAAACGGCTATCGCAATAGCTACCTAGCACATGCTAGGAAGCTAAAAATAGAAATGTTCATGCTGCTATCAACAAGAACACTGTGGGTGTACGTGGCCTGAAGGGGTGTCCACAGGGAGAGGTATTATTCCCACTATTGTGGTATCTCGTTTGGGATTTCTTACTGTAGGACTGTAGACAAAGCTGATAACAGGGTTTCAATCTATAGGTTATGCTGATGCTGACGACATAATCGTCATAGTGTGGAGTAAAGTCTGTTTTTTAGTACGACTTTTCCAACTTCTTAAAAAAGTCGCGCAAAAAAATCTCGACAAAACGAATTGCTTCAATCACAAGCATATTTTTCGGAGTTGCGTTAATTACCTGACTAAAAAATAACGGGGTTATTCTATAAAATTGATATGTCCGTTTGAGCCGTCATATCACCACATTTTTATAAATACAACGGCACAGTTTGACTTTTGCTGGCCTACGAATACTGAAATACTGAAATCAGTATTTGTAATTTGTAAAATCATAATCCATTAACCGTCATCTGTCAATGTTTAAATAATAAACACGAAATACAGACTAAATAGGTAAACCGAAAGCACGAACACGAGTTTATTTGTAAGAGCATTACTACAGCCACTAATTTAGTTCCCAGCAAATGAACGTTGTGGAATAAATCACGTCGTCATAATCATAATTATTCCGCCAACGTACCTACATGACATGATTGCGGTTTCCACTCTAAAAGGAAAAACCAAAGCTATCCGTCGATGGGTATCGAAATGAAAATATTTTGCATTTTAAAAGACACAAATCGAATGTTAGAAAAAAGGTTGCTTCCTTTGTCCTGCAAAAACCTCAAAAAAGGGCGTATGCAAATATTGTGAATCTGAGGTTTCCTATTCAATTTGTAGATATGTAATTCGTTTGATTGTTTTACTTTTTCTCGTAAATTCAGTGGACCGCACGCAAAATCTGTCTGTTTCGACATTAAAATCCGCCCATATTTCATATTATCACGTAACGAACAATTTCATTTGAATGCAGCGTACGAGCACTTCTACAAAATTAGTTCACGATCGATTTTGATCGTAAATGAGTTTTTACTCATTTTATGAAGAAACTCCTGTTGTAGTAGCTTTTTTTGTGTGACGAATGTGATTAGGTTCATAATAACAGGACAGAACTTCGAAATGTTTTATAACCGTGAAAAATTAGGGATAATTGCAGAGTGAGCCTACATTATTAAAAGCATAACTTGTGTCGAAATTGGAATCCTACTTTATGTCGATGATCAAACCACTTTTTAATCCATATATAAATGTGGGACTTATACCCAATGTTATTACGAACGTAAACCATTTCGATACTCCCGTAGCATTAAAATGTTATCATTTAATTTGAGCGAACATGTATACTGAATGCATGCAATGTTGTGTTACCTTCAACAGTCTAACGCGGATTGTTGCAGTTATGACGCGATCCTGGGTAACTACCGAGATGTGTAACCGCTGGGTGACGCTATTCATTCGAATAGGTCATAATGTCGATCCAATACGAAAAAACTAAGGCTTCATTGTTAACAAAAAAAATAAATAGGGAAGGGAAGTTGCAGATATCAGACGGTGGGTTCTTTTCTATGATATTTTCTGATCTTCGACACGTCACTGCTTGCGATTTTTAGAAGACCGTGCCATTTATACATTTTTATGTATAAAGCTGGTAATCCAAACTTCCAAGTCAGACGGCAAAAAAGTGGATTATTGTTTTTTTATTCTTTGTCTCTCCGTCCTACTGACTGTGTCACAACAACAATCATTATGTTACAATTATTTCCATTTCTAAATATTTTTTAGCAGGTTCGCCAGGCTTGTGCGAGGGATAATATTTGGTTCCGTGAAAAAAATAAATCAATAACAGCGAATTCTCCTGCGGTATTTGTATACACGATTTAAGGTGAGCAGGTCAAAACTCTGCGAATAACACCTAGTGAAGACAGTTATGATTGATGAAGTGTTAACATTGAACACCCAGCTAGAAGACGCCGAGGGTAGAGATTCGTAATAATATCAGTCTGACCCCGACTCGTGATTTACACCTCCATTCTCTCTCACAATGTAATTGACCATCATTTTTAAAGAACAGTCGGTACACAAAGCCGGCATTATGAAAAACACACATTTAGGTACCAACCTTTATTGACAGACAAGGATCCACCTTGTAATACTGTATGCATAAGTTTCATTCACATCACGTTTTTTGCACAAAAGTTTTTTTTATAAAGTACGTGATCAGGAAGACATACCTACTTATGATCGTTAAAATTGTTGCAACGGGGCGGAATTCAACGTTGATAAATTAATTACCTGCACGTACTGCGTACATGTCATAATAGACCACCTCTTACACAATGAAACACATTTTATTAACTTTACACGTGTCTAATTTCGTCATTCAGAAAGAGAGTACTTAAATTGATTTTTTCCCCGGGGTTGTAAATCTGTCAATAACAGTAAGCCATCATCAACCGACCGTATGAGATCCTTAGCCAGGTCTAAACAAATCCCTTCAGTGTTACATCTGGAACTAATGGAATGTTGTATCGAATGCGATTTATAGTGTTTTTAAAAGAGTAATATTATTTGACACTTTTAAACAACTTGGAGATGTTTTAAGTGGATGGGTGGATGGACCAAAAGAATTCAACGAGTATTATTTACAGGGTGGTTCCCGTTACGATCTGGAAATACATGTGTCCATAATTATGTATGAAATTATCACAATGCATCTCTATTTTGCCGGTTCTATGCCTCGCGCAATTAATTAAATTAATACAATACCTACTTATAATATAATGCTTATAGGGTTACTTCTAATTGGATGTCACAGAGTTTGTTTTAAACAATCATTTTGTCGCAGAAAACGATGCTGGTTAGAAATGAAATTAATTTTCCCTGAAGATTACGTAACTTTTCTAAAACAACGGTTAAAACTTGAAAGTGTTCCCACAAAAATTATTCCACTAACCTTGTACAAAGTTTCATAATACTTAATTTCCAAAAATAGCCCTCCTTATTGGAATTTCAAATAAATGAATGGAATTTCTAATTTAGGACCAAAG